CAGGCGGGGTGAGGGCAGGGCAGGGGTGTGTGGAGCGTGGGCGGGGCCAGTTTTGGGGCACTCGGTCTCTAAAAGGTTCGCCATCACTGAACTAGGGAGAAGGGGGACTGAGCAGGGGATTGGACTAGATGACCTCCAAGGTCCCTTCCAACTATTATTATTATTATTATTATTATTATTATTATTATTATTATTATTGTTGTTGTTGTTGTTGTTGTTGTTGTTGTTATTATGGCGAGACAGAACAAAAAAAGTCCCACCTAGAGAACATTCCACCTCTCCTCAAATCGTATCGTTTTATTTTCAGCTTCCAACTTTATTATTATTATTATTGTTGTTGTTGCTGTTGTCAAGGTTGAGAAACACAATTCTATGTACACTGAATTGGTCATTCACAAACGGTTTGAAGCTACGATGGAACCCCCTAAAAAGGGATTTACAACTTGGTCTCAAAGTTCTGACATTGCCCCCCGCACACACACACACACGCTTCTGCAACCATGTGATTGCATTTTGGGCACCGGGCAACTGGCACACCCTGATCATGTGCCTGCGATTGATGAAATTTTTGCCAGAAAATTTTTGATTTCTGGCAGAAATTAGCCCTTAGTTAACAACCCATAGTTAACGGGTTTGCTTAACAACTGCTGCAGCTGGATGAACTGCTGTGTTTGCTTAACCAACTGCCACAAACAAGATCATAAAAATGGGTCTGGTCACCTGGTGTTCCACTTTACGACCTTCGTGAGTTAGACCGTAATTGCTCAATTACGGTCATAACTCAAGGACTACGTGTAATTGGTATACTACTACTGTCAGCCTCCTTGTATAATAAGAATTAGAATCAGCTTTCCTGCAGCTTGGTTCTATTACAGTGATGGCGAACCTTTTAGAGACCGAGTGCCCAAACTGCAACCCCAAACCCACTTATGCATCGTCGGGTGCCGAGTGGGTGTGGCCCATTGGGTGGGCGTGCCCATTGGGCGGGCGTGGCTGCGGTGGTAACGGCAGACTGGGTGGGACTAAAAAGTTCAATCAATCAATTCCAACTTTGCAAGATTTTTTTCCCCACGAGAAGTTGAAATTGACTGATTGATTGAACCTTTTTTTTTTTTCCACACAGTGGCGGAGGCCTAAAGCGAAAAGGTTTTATAAAACCCAGCTGAAGGCCTAGGACTGGGGCGACGGCGCGCGTGCCCACAGAGAGGGCTCTGAGTGCCGCCTCTGGCACCCGTGCCATAGGTTCTCCACCACTGTTCTATTACCTTGAGCCTTAGGCTCTGGAATGGCGGAAAGCAGGTCTTCACTGCCCTTCTTTGGGATATCCCTTCAGACATACGAAAAGTGTGGTTGTGTTCCTCCTCAATCTTCTATTCTCAAGGTGAAACCACCCAGCTCTTTCAGAGTCTCCTAATACAGTAGGTCATGGTTCTTAGTCATTCTGTTGTTCTTCCCCTGCATCTTTCCCCCATTCTCTCTCTCTCTCTCTCTCTTTCTCTCTCTCTCTCTCTTTCCTCCCTTCCTTCCTCTCCCTCTCATCGATACACCTTCCTTCCTTCCCCTCTGTCCCTCTCATCCATACTCCTCCCTCCCTTCCTTTTCCTCCCTCTCATACATACACGTTCCTTCCTTTCTTCCTCTCATCCATACTCCTTCCTTCCTTCCTTCTCTCCCTCTCATGCATACACATTCCTTCATTTCTTCCTCTCATCCATACTCCTCCTTTCCTTCCCCTCCCTCTCATCCATATACCTACCTACCTTCCTTCCTTCTTCCCTTTCTCCCGCTCATCCATACTCCTTCCTTCCTTCCCCTCCCTCATCCACACACCTTCTTTCCCCTCCCTTCAATACACCCTTCCTTCCTTCCTTCCTTCCTTCCTTCCCTCTCCCTCCCTCCCTCCCTCCCTCCCTCCCTCCCTCCCTTCCTTCCTTCCTTCCTATCAGACACGATGGACAGGGAAACCTCTACCTTTACCTGGTCTAAATCCTTACAGGGTGGTGACCAGAATCAGATACACTATTTGAGGTGGGGTCCCACCAATCCTGCCTGCAGAGGTCTGCTTTTCTCCTTGTCCTGGGCCTCTGGAAGCCTTACTGTGGGGCTTCTGTTGTCCTAGCCAAACTGGAGCATTTGGACAACCTTGATGTGGCATTCCAGATGTATCTGCAGCAACCAGAGAATCCGGGTAAATATTTACACTGTGGAGAGGACATTTCATGTCTAATCTCCCTTGTCCCTTCCAGTACGTGACTGGCCTTTCTCTCCAGCTTCAGTTTCCCATAGATTAGCAACCAGCCATCTAATTTTTTTTCCTTCCTAATGTTTCTCACTCCCATCACTCTTCTCCCCCCCAGCATGGAATTCTTTCCTCTGTGACACGCTGGTCACACGAAGTCCTTATCGGCAGGGAGGAAAAGCTAGGAGGTCAGATTCACAAATGTCTTGAAAATGTCAGCTCTTGCAAGATTACGATGCTTCCAGGAGTGCTGAGCCATTTTTCTCCCACGTCTTCTGGATGCGCAGAACAGCTGGCAGACCGATTACGATTTATGCATGTTAGAGATCAGCATCTTTGGTGTGTCTCCAGCCAGTTTGGGGAGAGAGAGAGAGAGAGAGAGAGAGAGAGAGTTTGTTATAAGGAAGGCCATAAGCCAGTGATGGCAAACCTTTTAGAGACCGAGTGCCCAAACTGCAACCCAAAACCCACTTATGCATTGTCGGGTGCCGGATAGGTGTGGCCCATTGGGTGGCCGTGACCCATTGGGTGGGCATGCCTGTGGTAACAGCAGACTGGGTGGGACTAAAAAGTTCAATCAATCAATTCCAACTTTGCAAGATCTTTTTTTTCCCGCTAGAAGTTGAAATTGACTGATTGATTGCACCTTTTTTTTTTTGCACACGGCGGCGGAGGCCTAAAGCGAAAAGGTTTTATAAAACCCAGCTGAAGGCCTAGGACTGGGGCGACAGTGCATGTGCCCACAGAGAGGGCTCTGAGTGCCGCCTCTGGCACCCATGCCATAGGTTCGCCACCACTGCCATAAGCCGTGGAGAGTGGGGTCTTCTTTGATTCAAGTTTCTTGTGAATTCCTTGCTTTCAAAAGTGGTTTGTAATGGCCTTATTCCAATATATTTTTCTTGACTTGCTGGTGTGACCCACAGATGTGTTCCCTGCTAAAAAAAAAACTCTCTTCCAAGTACTACCTTAGTCTGATCCAGGTTTAGCTAGACCAGGGGTCTTCAAACTTGGCCCCTTTATGACTTGTGGACTTCAACTCCCAGAATTCCTCAGCCAGCATGCCTGGCTGA